CTACTGTCTCCGGCTCAGCAACAGGAACGAACGACCATCAGCCAATTTGGCAGCCAATCGAAACGGGCGAGGAACTGGACGAAAATTGGTCACTATGGTTGGAACTTGGAACCAGACACCGCAAATTTGGGAATCCCTATAATTTCTGCACTCGTCAATCTGAGTCGATGATGGAATCCTTCACCATCACTACTGAGGATTTGGCCTTTTTTCAGCAGATCAGTGCATTATCACATGCTACGGTCGGTGCTGGAGCATTCATCTCTTTACCCGAATGCCACTGGAGATTGAATATCTGTATTCCCGCACAGCCGGTTTTCTCCAAGCAGCCCTATAATGTGCGCGTTCTTTGGGGGTTTGCACTCTTTCCATGGAGTAAAGGGAACTACGTGAAAAAGCCAATGCTCGAGTGTTCGGGTGCAGAGGTCATGATCGAACTGCTCAGGCATCTGGACATCCCGCCCGGGCTGCTTATTCGGCGCACTGTGACCATTCCGCGCGTGATGCCCAGAATGAGTAGTATTCTATTAAGCCGCTACTCGCGCGACCGCCCTGAGATTATACCCCAGAATACCTGCAATATTGGCTTTATTGGGCAATTTGTAGAGATCCCGCGGTATTCGTGTGCAGACATGAGTTACGGTATTCGGACAGCGCAGATGGCTGTATCCCAGTTGATGGGTGTCGATATACAAAAAGAAGAAAGGTGGAAACTACCATTGCCGACTCTGCTGAGAATTTCATTCTGGGAGTGACCGGCAGGTTTTTAACTGGGTCTTGCCTCTGTTGACTTATTCGGTCTTCAGTACCCCCAAAGAAGTCCGGTTGGCTCTATGGCTGTATACTTTTCAATCACATACGTTCAACTATATCGGGTTTATATGCTAGCTCAGAAACATTGTTCACATCCTTCAAACCTAAAAATAAAGTGCTAGAGTTGCAACCAAGGTAGCTCAATAGTGCTTGCAATACGCTCTTGGGCATCCTCATCAAGACAGCGACAGGGAAGGCAAGTCACAGCCAGGGTCCCAATTTCGGGTACCTAAATAATCAATTTCCTGGCCATAATTTTGTCGAGCAAGCCTAGGCGACAATGACAGCTTGACAGACAACTCGTTTAGGAATCTTCGTCAGGCCGGTACAAATTTTCGAGGGACTTCACCAACGAAGTCTAATTAATCATTTAGGCCTCGTACATTGAGAAGCATTGCAATGAATGGGTTGCAATGAACGGTGGGCTTGCGTAGCTCCACGCTGCAGCAATAGGCTGTTGTTGAGACATTGCGCCGGTTGAGATGACCAGCCTAAATGCGTGCTCTTCACCAGCCATAGAAATAGAGTATGGCCTATTCGTTCTGACCTTGTCTTCCCGTAAGCATCATTCCCTTAACCACTAATTACTTTCCCGTGGGTCGAGGCTGGTTTTATTGATTTGTTATCAATTATTCTCCCTGCGCAAAAATGGTCCAGCGTTGAAGAGTTTGCAAGGTGTAGACATGATTCAGAACGGGTATTGTCCCCCTCAGCTCAAAAGATACTACCGTTACCTCGGTATCTCTTTTGCCAGGCGCGGCTGAACACTTGTTGACCGGCGTTCAACCATACTTATCTTTCATTGGCCTTCTATACGCTATCCGGTCCTTCATCACTTTACATTTATTTCTCAATAAATTCAAGTTCAACATCTATTTCTATTTTTTCATTTTATCATATATCTGAGAGGTCGCCTAATTTGTTATATGTGATGGGTAGCGGTTGGAAGTGTAAACAGTACATTTTCTGTAGTTACACCATATGTCATGTACGTCCTGCGGCATGAGCAATGGACTTCTCGAATAACATGAAGACTTTAGAAATGCTAAATCGACGGATTTGAGTGTACTTGCTGAAGAAGTTGCAAACCCAGCGGAAAATTCTAGAGCGGCAATTTTCTCACAGTAATGGAGTAGCAAACACTTCATCAGGCCCATGGAGTCTTAGTAAAGAATATCTTCTGAATATAGTTAGGGAAGGATTTGGCGAGGCGCCCCCGCTCCTCACGCACCGCCGAAGAAAATGCTTGCTCCCAGGAGCTATACCGCCATTCATAGAGTGCTTGCAGCTCCCAGGGATAGAGAGTGTGTTCCTGGATGCGGAACATACGATTCTAGAGCTGTCACGAAGGCGGCTGGGAGCGCTGGTGCTCCAGTGATTTTACCACCTGCACCAAGGCGGTTGGTTACTTGAGCCGCAGATAATTTCGCTCCCGACACGATTACAGCTCAGGAGCCATGGATTTTCTAGCGAATTTTCCAATCTAGGCATAACTAAGCATGCGGGGATGAGCAATCACAGAATTCCACGCTACGTATGTTGCCAGCGCTATGCAGGACCACGAACTATTTAAGAACTACGTAGGACCGCACGTCATATAGTTAGCAGCTATAGGGTCGGCCACGACTAGGGAGTCGATCACGATTCACGACTAGGGAGTCCCCCACGACTGGGGGGTCGCCCACGACTGGGGTGTCGAAGACGACTCTCCACCCCCGATGGAAAGACCAATAATATGCCACCATATATGTGACTGAAACGGAACAGTGGGTTGAGCAAGAAAGCCGTATATGTCGAGCAACGTTTAAAGGACGTGAAAGTTAAACCATCTATAGTAAAGTGCTTGGTGAGAGCTCTTATAACCTCAACAACGGTTCCAGAAATATTATTAGAAAAAATGACCAGGTGGGGAACGCCTTCCAATTACGTTGTCAATATTGTCGTGGGACCGTCGTTGAGGTAGTAAGACATCTGTCGGGGATTGACATGAGATAGACACAATAAGTGGAGGACACGGGACATACATAACGTATCTGGAGAATACTATTAACGTGGGTAGAATTTTCTTTTCCTCAATATTCAAGACGGAGAAGATTGCTAGGTGAAAAGATTTCTAGCATTTAATTTTCTGAAGTATAATTTTGAACCAAGGCTAAATTTATCGACACGAAAAATTTTCCAAGCCCAATATTTTTGTTCTGACAACATTAAGCCCATAAAAAATCATTGCTTCCGAAATATTCCAATTATAGTAATATTGACCGAAAGATAAATACAGCACTCGAAATATTACGCCCATGATAATATTATACAGCTTGAATATCCCTCCCCCCCCTCTGGGAAGACCTCCAGTTGTCTAAGCTAGACATAAGGATATAAGTTTAGGGGCAGTGAAAATTGACAGCTCACAATATTCGTCACATATAACGTTCCTGGCAAAAGATATTAAAGCGAGTATAATGTTAATAGCTTGAATATTAGTAGAGGAAAAAGTTCTGCGTGTCTTAAGATTAGAAGGGAGAAAACTTGCTAGGCGGGAAAATTCCCTAGCGCCTAACTTTCCTTTTGTATATTTTTGGACCAACGATTAATTTATCAGCACAAAAAATCAACGAAGCCAAATATTCTCCGGCCAGGAATATTTGGTCCATGGAAAATTTATTCTCCTAAATATTTCGTCTATTACAACATTTTCTAGTCTGAATATTAAGCCCCCTCGGTGTTAAACGTGTTGTGATGTGAGGCTGGTGCAGATCAGGAAGCAAGCCGCACCATCGGAATTAGCTCCGAGATGTGTATACAGACAACCAAGTTGATTTCCAACCAAGTTGATTTCCATCCAAGTTGATTTCCAATCAACTTGGCTCTCTGTTGTATATATAGCCTCAGATTTCCCTCTAGAACAATTAACAATAATAAATACCTCTGAACTACAACAGACATCGCTTCGTTTTGCCGAGGAGGGTCCAATTCATGAGGCGATCCAGAAGCGGATCAATGATCTCAGCAGCCGTCGCGAGGCAGGTACAGCCTCATCATCAAAATGGAGACTTGGTGGCTTGGTCAAATGTGAACAGAAGAAGTGTAGAATAATCCAGCATGATGCTTTGAAGGGCCAACAGATATCTGAACCAGCGATGATGCGTGGATAATGGACGATACACAAAGGTGGGATGATGAAAGGCCAACAACTTGATGCATTGAGAAGAAATCCAACCTACATAAAGCGGCGGCGTTGATAGCTTGACGGGCACCAGGGGCCAACCGTTGTCGAGGAACTTTTCTCTCCGCCTCAACTTGTTTACAATACCCTGCTTTTTGCTCCCCATCTATGCGATATGTCAAATGTGCATTAATCGAAACATGCATCGAAATGTAACACCATTCCGGGTAAAAGGTTGATACTTGCGGGCGTCCGAACTTCATGGGGCTTCGCATCCCCCCCCTCCCCCCCCTTATGAAAGCATATAAGCACCTCTGCCAACAGTCCCTCAGCCCATACAACTCACTTCATGAACGCAATGGACGCACCAGATCGTCCTCCATCGGCCGAGAGACCTACTAAAAGACCGCGTCGGTTCTCCAAATACCCGTGGGATGACGCCACCGCCGATCTGCATGGCCTGTTCCGAGAACCTCTGGGGGGGGGGGGGTGCAAGTATCGAGTGCAAGTATCGAGTGCAAGGTTAGGGTCTTCTAGTGGAAAGTTTAGAGCCTAATTAACGGGTCCATAATAGAAAAGCATTGACACCGCCGGCTTTTTGACGAGGGAGGCCAAGCAGATCCTACGCCGGGGCTCATCTGTCGCAAAGCCAGCTCTCAACCTGATCGACTTGTTCCTGTGCCTTTGACAGTGTTATGTTGTCAAATCTGCCGGGAAAATCCGACTCGAGAACGAGCGACGCCAACTTTGGCTGTCAAACGAGGAACTAGAAGCTGAAAATGGTCTTCTCCTGCAGCGTTGTAATGAGCAGGCGCTGGTACTGTGGGACCGTGGGCGGGCAGCCCACACTGTTCGGGCTGGAGTCATCTCAGTGTTACGGACGTGTGACTGGAATTCTGACCAGATGAATTGATGATTTCGTACGAAAACCCCTTGCTAATTTTGCTCCTCGGCCCAACACTGACATACAGCATCGAGAGAAAGAGAAATACTGCAATTTCTTGCACAACTTCGCTCTTACAAGATGCCTTTCAAGCTGACCGTAGTGGCATCGGACTCCGAATTCGACGAACTCGTTCGGTGTGAATTTGATGCCTATGAGAGCCCCCAGTGCAACCTCAAACAGCTCTTCTTTCCCATCCAGGGTTCTTCGCCCACTGCCCGCGACGCAGTTGTTCAGGATGCCGTCAAACTTCAGACGTAATAGCACCGCTCCGACCCCACCAGCTAATGGATCAAGGTCATCGATATGGAGTCTGGCAATATGGCTGGCGCCGCCTGCTGCCACATTTATGAAAACAACCCTTATACCATCATGTTTGATGTAGGGTGCGATTGGTGGCCTGCAGGCGAGACCCGTAATATTGCCAACGCACTCATGGGGCATTTCCTCGTTCCACGAATGACATACATGAACAAACCACATGTCTTTTCGTTCCCCTGCTCTTCTTGTAACATTAATTTACATGCAAAATACCTAATGATCTTTCCGTTTCAAGTCCTAGACATCTGCTTCACGCATCCTACTTACCGACGACGTCGTGTGGGCAGCATGTTGATGGAGTGGGGTGCTAAGAAGGCCAAATAGAGGAACCTGGAGTCTTGCATAGATGCCAAAGAAATTGGGCGTGAACTATAGGGCAAATGGAGCTTTGTAGAAGGGAAACAGAGAGAGTTCAGACTAGGGAACTTTCCCGCGACTTTGAAGCGTAATGAGTTGGACGAGTTGTTGCTGCCATTTGCGTGGTGGCCAATGTATAGGCCAATAGGAGGCCAATAGGAGGAGAACAAGGGATTATTGCCGTGGGGAATGAGTGAGATATTGGTACGAAAGTGTAATTTTTGAACTTTTGCGTAAAACTCACTCTTTGTAAAAACTGTTCTGCTGAGTGCCATAAGTCACAAACATTAAGCTTTCAGTATTTACAATATAGTACGTATCAGGGACTCTCAATCTTAATTCAGTTCCCTAAAAGCCCGTTTTAAGTTTCATAAAACTGCTAATTCTCTGTTAGAACTTACCAATTACTAGGTCCCAAATGTAGCCGGGAAATATGTTATCGACTTTCTTTCTCCCAAACTATCAGCATTGATCGCAAGAGAGCAGAGCGTTTCCAGTCACTCTTTTCAACGATTTCCCCGCTGTAGGTTGCATCTGTCTCTTCATCGGAATCAATAGGGAGTTCGCTGTCGAATGTCAAGCCACACATATCGCGCAATACACATACCAGCCACCAGTATTCGCCATGGGCTTAAGGAGAGGTAGGCAACAGACATTCCCTATTCCTATATTGCTTTAGTATGCGCGGTACCTCGCATTTCAGGAGTTCTGCAGATTACTCCTTCTGGCTGGAATAAGTGATTTCACGATACACCCTTAGCTTCCACGATACAGTTTGCTAAACTGTACTCTACAGCTGTAGCACGGCCCTTTTCATTTAAGAGGTAGATATAGATAGAGGCTACGGAGGAGGAGGTGACTAGGTTTTGAGAGCCCCCAAAATATTTTAAATTCTCCGCAACTAGTATATCATTTCAAGCCAAATTCCATGGCATTGTCAAACTAACCATTTACAACCTACCAATCTCTATCACCAAGTATTCCGATACTAGTGAAATTAAATAATAATTCTGTATATATATGAAGGCTGGCTAGGGCCCTAGTTGTGACTTAGGAAGAATAACTTTAGAATGTAGGGGTGGAATGTTAGAAAACCCTAAACCCTGTTAAGTACGACTATAGTACACAGTAAGAGATGTATTCCTATCTCTCCTTACTTTTCATTCTTTGACTCTAGATTCTCTGTCTTTTTATCCCTGTACATTCCACTTATTTGGTATTAGGTAGGGATCTGCATTGGATTTATATTGATTCTGTTGTCAGTTTTGAACTGATATTGGATATAAGAATTATCTCTTTTCCTTAATAAAAATAACGACGTCCTCTTCTATCCACCTTTCTCAAGGTTCTTTGCCATCTTTCAGACGATTGGTTACGACAGATTATCCCTTTCGAATTGAAACATTACCGAACCGATACCATGAAGTTCAAAGATCAACTTGCCTTGAACCCACTGTCCATTATCGCAGCCCTATTTCTAGTTCTAACCAGGAATACAGAAGCTGCCCAGTGTACAGCAAATCAGATTTCATCCTTATCGGTGAATGGCTGTGATTGTCAAAAATCCGGTGTTCCTGTGAAATGTCCCTTATTGGCGCCGCAGTGTGGTTTGCCACCGACTCTTGCTGTACCAATCAACCAATACAATGGGGGTCAGGTCTTGTGGGGTGAAGGCTGTATCGACGCTAATTTTGGATGTGATGGTTGCTATTTGTGGTATGGCTCTCTGTGCGAGTGTCTAAAGCACCCTGGGGGTTGTACTCGTACTCAGCCAGTAGTAGCGGGAAACCCAATATGGGCCCTACTATCAAATACGGCACTCCGCGGGTTGATCACTACATCACAGAAACTGCCTGGAATCCTGCAATTGAATCAAGCGCCTGAACCAGACAAAGGCTGGCAACTCGGACAGGAAACACTCAAACACCCTGATAAAGCCGTGAAATATACGAGGGAGAGAGGAGCTCTAGCTATGAACTCGGTTGCCACGCGAACCGAGGAGCAAATTCACATCCATGTGTGTGACAACCCAACTAGCAATCTTCGGCGTGACTTATCAAAACTGCTACGATCCGGTTATGCAAATTTGGCGCCAGTTCCGGGCTATTCAATGTGGTGTCAGGTAGCTCCATTCTCCGGTACCAACATTAACGTGGCAGCAAGGATATTTGACTATCTGGCGACCATTCCTCATCTTGCGGCTAGCTGTGACAAGTACAAAATCGGAGCTGGGCTTATTACCGATGCCAATGATTACTCTTGGGCGTGTGTTACTACCGGCGATGCATCGGCAGAGGAACTTTTCTGTCATTTCCCTTAATGTATATAGTTTAGTGGCGTTTCCAAGGGGTGTCTCTGATAAATCGGTGGCCAATTCGACCTTGGTGGGTCACCTGATCAACATCCATGGAAAGTAAGAAGGACATATCAGAGCATCCAATATGTCAACAGGGTGCCAGGGGTGCCTCTAGATAAACAACCGTGATTAGTAGAGCACTAGATCCCTTATAAATTGTTAGCTTAGGGATGTTCCAAAATATCAAACTTCTTTATCTTCATCCATTGGCTACCATGCAAATGCATCCAACTTAATCTTCATATCTTAAGCATTAGGCATAATTTATTGGTGACCTTGCGCAGTCAAGGGGAGCAAGAAGAGTGTAGCTTGGCCATAACGGGTCACCTGTCGCTGCGGTCGTAGACCGTAGCGTCAGATAGGGCCCCGTCCCGCGCTCCCTTGCAGGGAGGCAATGTGTTTGTATTTGTTGTAGTTCAGAGGTATGAATTATCTTATTGTTCAGAAAGAAACATTAGGCTATATATATACAACGAGAAGAACAAGTTGATTGCAAATCAACTTGCTTCTTCGTATAGATATCTCGGGATTAATTCCGATGGTTCGGCTTGGTTCCTGATCTGTGCCAGCCTCATATCACAACAACGATGCGTTATAACTCGAGTCAGAAACCCCGATCCGCGTGACTTGAGATGCCCTCGAGCACAATACTCGTCGAATAGCGCGATGTGATTTCACCCACCTCCGCCCTCCTAATGGTCCGCCTGGGCGGGTGGCGGCAGGAAGAGAGAATGATGAGATAGACGTCCTTTAATGGTCGCTGCGGTAGCTCCGCGTCCTCTCGGGATAAGACTTTAGTCTTTCTCCTTGGGATAAATGGAACGAGCATGAGCAGACTAACCCGAGCCCTGAAGAGGGATTTTAATAGTTTGGTACTGGTGGCCGATATGGTGTGTTGAATCCATCTGTGAGCCACCTCTGTGACGAAGTCGCATCCAACAAAAGGTATTACGCCCGAAGGGCTGGCGTGGTTCTCCCCGCCCCCAACCGCGGAAGATACCGGTAACGAGCAATGATATCCCTGGATGGCCTTCATGACGCATGGTAATTGGATGGCAGCTGAGTGAGCGCAATCACCGTCCAAACCTCATCATAATGGGCCTCCAACGAATTGTCATGCCATTCACCTACCATTACCGTGATGGCGTCATCATCATCATCTGGCTTCCTTTCGTAACCCAACACCCAACACCTCCATTTTTCGCCCGTATTACAAGAGCTCGTTTAGATGCTCTAGACGACAAGATATTCATGGTGAGACCAAGAGAGCGCATGATTCGTTCCATTCAAGAGTCGCGTTCATCACAAGAACCAGTGCTTAAAGTTTGACCTCAAAGTCAATGGCAAACTTCGACCCATGCTTGCAAAGAATATCCCTACAGATCATCCAAGCTCCTTGTGAGGAAGGGTCTTTTGTGGACATCTCACACAACCAGCGAACGGCCTTCTGAACCCTATCAATAATACCTTGAGCCTTCGAAGTTCCCGGTCGAGTGCGAGTGAAGAGCTCAATAAGGAGAATTGTAGTGGGGTGCATCAAATAATGTAAAATGCACCACCAAGGGGAAATTCTAAAGAGCCAACTGGTGTCTACCTCTTCGGGGAAGAGATCCAGCATCTGATGTGCTGTTTGCACACACATAGCGGCCATAGTATCACAGGTAGCCCCCTCTGGACCCATGTTGGGAGGGTGATAAGCTAGACGACGAAGGCAGGGCTGCGATATCAGAATCTTGGTAGCATAGAAGCGGAAACCCAGGCTAGCGCGCTGGCGAACGAATGACTGGTCCCCGTCTAGGTTCGCGAAGGAAAACTCAACAGGGAGACGTGAGAGCCAGTGGTTAGTAATACGATCGAAGTTGGATATCGTGACCTCCATCTCAAGCCAGGATCGTCTGATCGCCCCGGGGGCGTATAAAGCTTCGACTGTGTCTCGCATGAGAAAGTCTAAGTCAATTGCGTATAAAAAATATAAAGATGTGTTGGGAGCGACGTTCTTGGTCACTGGTTGTGCTGCTCGTTCGCTCTCTTTAGTCTTGTCTGTTCCAGTCCTAGCTGGGAGTGTTCGATGCATAATTGAGGTTCCACCTGAACCTAGGTCCGGGTCTGTCGAAGATAACAAGGACGCTAACAGGCAACTTCGCTCACTTTGATTGATAATGAGTTGCGTGACGAGGTCAGTCCTCAGATCCTCATCTCGATATGGGATCGGTAGAGGTGTGGTGCAATATATCTCGCCGATGCTGGGTGGGCGGCCAGTCATCACACATAACACGGTATCTAACATTGAAAGCGCCCACCACACGCGGTAGCGCGTTTCCTTCGAGACTGGGCTTATATTATCTGTCTCATTACGAAGGCTGAGGCCCATCGCCAGCGCAGATCGAATCGACACGCCAATAACTCGCCACGACCTGAAGGGAGAAAGCGCTCGCATTTAGATACCAAGTCTAGAAAGGCTAAAGGATGGGAGGAAACAAAAGCGAGGAAGAAAGAGAAAAAGGAAGGGACGGGATATCATGGTATGCGCACCTGTTCACTTGGCCTTTGGAAAGTAGATAGAAAGCAGTCAGGCCTTCTACCTGTACCTGTTGTAGGTTCGGATGATCTAGCAACGCGGCGTCACTGATGCCGAGCCGCCATGCCCGGGCAAAGTAGTCACCATGTTCACCGTAGCCGCCTATCTCGGGATGTCTGTCGAAGAGTAAAGAGTGTCCGGCGGCGATAGCAAATACTAAATTCAGCATAGCAATCCATCGCTTCCCAGGTTGTGCGTTGCTGTAGACGTAGTAGGATCGGTACTGACTCAGGAAGATATCCTTTCCAATGATAGGGAATGAAGGATGCACAGCTTGGAAGTAGTCGTCCACGAGCTTGTCTGCTATATGTTGAGGAGGTCGCCACAGTAGGCTCACATAGTTAAGGCCAGGAATCCTCACGTCGTCTTGGAAGTAGTTAAGATATGAGATTGGAGGTCTCTCAAGGATCTTGTTGAAAACTGCGGCGCTGTCCTGGTCAAGGTCGTGTTTGAGTTTATACAGCCAAGACATCTCTGAATGCTCGCCTATAAAGCCCATCGCCTGGACCTTTTCGTCATAATTGAAGTCTTCTTGGACGTGACCCATAGTCGCCAATGGATCTCCTGTCATGATAGGCCCACATTGAGGGGCAGAGAATCCTCGCAGCTAGCCACAGTTAGGTGATAGGCTACTGTGGGATTGAGGAGGGCCGGGGAAAGTTTCGGAAGGATACGTGCCGCGGGAAAGGAGGATGGATGGAAGTACGGAAGGCGAATCTCACTCTAATAAATTGGTCCCCGAGGGTTTGGTCAACACAATGGGCTGATAGCATATCAAGTCTCGGGTATAAATCTTGAAGCAGCTTTTCATAAGAATGAATTTGCGCCGATAGATCATCCAACTGCCTAGAAGCTTTGTTAGGTACAGGTCGGAGCCTCTCAAAATGTAGCATTCACGCACTTGATGATCTTCTCACGCTTCCGATTTTCATAGAAACATCGCATCCCGACCTTCTGGCAACGATCGCATGAGGGGTGGTGACCACTACATTTGGCCTTTTGTTCACGACAACTTGAGCAGGCCCGACCATCGCGCGATTTTGGCTGACTCGTCCTCAAGCTGCGTAGAGAGGTAGTACACAGGGAGCTTCTTTCGAGTCAAGGGAATTTGAACAGCAGCCTTCAGGAAAGGGTAGTTGCTGGGGCATAAACGGTCTATCTTTCAGTTTGCATTTGGCCCTCAAGATTTTGCATTGACAGCTGGGTGCGCAAGGATAAATAAATTTGGGTCACCGATGGAGGCCTGAAGGGGCACTGCGCCTGGAATGCTGGATGTGACAGCCGCGTTAAATCACCACAACCGGCGACCGGAACATACTAAGCAAACCTGCGCAACGTCAAGGGCTTTCCCCCTTACCTTTTACCAAAAAGAGGTGTTAGGTGAGCAAGCCGCCTGCGGGGACAGTCGCGGCAATTATAGGCGAAGAGCGTTGGCAATGGGTGGGGCCAAGCACCCGCCACTAACCCAGGCCTGGGAAGCCTCAGCCTCGCGCTCTGCGGAGAGTCCAAAAGTCGTTGCGGCCAAGGTAGAACACCACCAAAATCCCGCTAGTCCTGACATTGGTCGTGTATCCCAGCGTCTTAATCTTTCTTATGTAAGATTGGAGCCGATGCTCTTGTCGTCAGGGTCTGAGCGACACAACTCACGAATATTCCATTTTCCTATTTTTTTCTATCTTGGAGCAAAACCTAAAGCGCTTCTTTTCGCTTTCGATATATCAAGCCTGAAACCTCATTACAAATTTCGTCAAAAATTTGCGAACATTTATGATCGTAAATTTGCTGCATTCGGGTTCTTGGACCAGTTGAGATGATGGTTAGTGGCGATGCAGACAGCTCTCCACTGTGGATCATGTTTAGAGATAAGTTCTCATGCTTTGAGGGGGCCTGATTCGATGCCATCCCGATATGGCCACTGCTAATGGTGGTTAAGCTGTTTGTATACCTTTTGAGGTGGGGAAAAATGTGTTGGACGTAATAAAGTACTAGCAAATACAGCCCCATTATGGCGGGAGCTACGGTGCGTAAGAGACAATATAGGTGTCAGTATCAGTGGAGATTCAGTATTGTAAGGATGTGTATTAGTTTGCTGTTTATAGACTAGCCGAGATTAGTCATGTTCACACCCATACAAGTTTTTATGGGTACAGGCATAACAATTCAGACAACTACCCATGGGCCTGATTGGACGTACATTTCTGTTCCGACACCAGATGTGCCATGTGGGTCCGCGTTCTGGGCTTAGCGTGTATGCCTCATCGATATCCCTGACAGGTAGGTTCAGGCTCCCAGGAGCTCATAGCCAAATTCGGACCAATCATTTCTACGGAGGCTTTGTGGCACAGTGGATCATTCATCGCACCGATTGACTCATTATTCCTCCGTAAATATCGCTCTATTAGTGGTATCCAATGATCGCATCAATATTTACGAGCCACAGGCTCCTGGGAGCCGAGGCCAATTATCAACCAATCATTTCATTGAAGACTTATGCGGGCCTTTGGTGACACTAATTGGCTGATGCTTCCTTGTGGTAGTAACCATCTTCCCGTGTCCACTTAGTTCCCAGGAGATCGATGTAAGTATTGCCATACGCAAAGATGAGGCTGATGGATGAAATAATTGTTCCACGGAAACGTAATCCATCTAGTAGCTCACTTATTCCGCGAGATGTGGGCTGTGCGAATCAGTCCCACGCTGCACCATAGCTTGTATCTGCTTGATATTGTGTAGGCGTATTGTATTTTCTCCGATATACGAGTTAGGCAGTGAATAATCCTGCGGTTTGACTGGTAGGGATCTAGGGTCGCAATATGGCATGGTGTTTGCCTGTCTTTGATGAGGTGTTCGTTGCGTGGAGTAATGGGCTCATCACCGGTGAGTGAAATGAAATGACATGACCTCGTCGCCTCGCCCGTCGCATTAAAAGGCGGACTCACGGCGGTGAATGGTGATAACCGTCGTCGGTTCTTTTCTGCGGCATCCTTATGACTGTTGAAACCATGCCAACAGCCAGAAATATTTTTCATGTTCTTGATCACCAGGAACAAAATGCAATGTCTCTGAGAGCTGCTTTGAATCAATGATGAAATGTTGAGCCAGTTATCATTGAAGAGTAGTTTTTGTTTGAGCCCTCACAATTCATAACGATGATCTTATTGACGCAGGTTGAATGCCTGGCTGAATTGCTATAAATACCCGGTTCGTCACCGGCAGAACCGTCGTTCGCAAGCATTCCTTTGTCACTCCGGGTAAAAGAATATCGATCAATTCTCGTTTCCGTGGCTACTATTTGGTATGTTGACTTCGAAATCGTGCAAAGAAATTGACTGACTTGTTGCATCGCACTAGCCTGGCTTTTCTCGACACAAGAGGTCTTCAAACAGCAAGTGAGTGTAGCTGCCCAGTTATTTGGAATCATGCTAGCATGGAAAATGCTCGATATCAGCCCCGCCTCTGCTATTCCTCTGAGAAGCCATTGAACGAACCTTCAGGATCTGGATCTGGAATGGTCCAAGCTGCGAGCACAGTGAGTTACAAGTAGCCTTAATGAACTGCCTGCCTACTGATGATTGATGATAATTAGGTGCCATCCTTCATACAGTCCCCTGTAGCGGACAGAAATAAGTGACAACGTAAGTTTGAAGACTGCAGCAATTTCAAAGGCAGATATCATGTGCTGAAGACCCTCCCTGTAGGATGGAAAACTTCCTATCGCGAGTCGCTCAATGTCTTGTAAGTCCCGCTAGTGCTTTGCCCCTACCCATTCCCAACACCCGGTACTGCATTTCAATCCCCGTACGAATGCTATCCGTTCGTGGCTCTCTGTTCCTCAGAAAATATCGCTGATGATTCTTTTTCTTCATAGGGCGCGCGTCAATATTACCCTCGACCTGACCCTCGTCTTCGAAACTAAACCAGCTGCGCCAGCCTGATGGGCCAGGCCACTGAATCTCATTACGCTTGCGTCTTTGTTGTTTCTGAAGACGTGATTGACACGGTCACTTCGCCTGGCGCATTGAGAAAGCCCAATCCAGGAACGCCTGGTGCCCTCTGATTAACCATATGGTAAGATTCCGAAGTGTTTTATTCGTCTCTTCAGCATTACCCTTTCCGGACAAATTTTGACAATCAATGTATTAGTAATTCGCAATATTCTGACGGCGATGAACCTCCTACCTCACGTCCGATCAGAAGGCTTGTCGGTGGCCATGAGCTGGCCTCACTGTTGACCGAGTGAGCCATCAGAGCATCCGCGACAACCAAGAGAGGCCGAGAATCGACGACCACAGGAAAGGACGACTATTTCTCCGAGGAGCATCAATCGGCAAATTGAAACGAGCTATTGGCAATAGTATAAAGGCCAGATATTTCAACCCCCGATTGCAGCTGAGCAAGCGATAAGACAGGCCGTGGCTTAGATCTACCACAGATCCCTCGCCGCGAGAGCAGTCATTTTCGGGTCGGGTCGAAGGTTGTCGCAAACAAAATACCATGAATCTCTCGTCCAGTGGTACTTAGCCTTGACACAGTTGAAGTTTGCCCAAGGCCGTGCATTGGCAGGTATGGATACATCCATTCCCGAGGTACAATTTGATTCCAAGTCCTCCACGTGTGGTCGAGCTGAGCCCGCTACCTCATCCCTGGTTTTTCTATGCTGATGCCAGGCTGCATCACGGCAAGTCTATCCCACCCTCGGTCACCAGAAATCAGTTAACATAGAGAGTCAGTGAAAGACAGCCCTAATTCAGCCGCTCTGACGAGTCCGATCGAGAAAGTGCATTATAGCCAGCTGGGACCTCATCTGGGCCGCAAACAAGGTAAGTTGCGAGTGACCATCATATGCCAGCTGCTGATAATTGGTGCTAGATTGAATATATCCAGCGGCAAATTGCCTTGCCTGTGATCTGATGCAGACGGTCATTTAAAGCTGCTACCATGGCTTATTCATGATTGATCCTGGTAAGTACATTCTCATCTCTAGAATAATTTGGAAGGCAACTTACCAAAGTCAAGTCGCTCTAATGAAATTGGCGATTTTTCCCTGATGCAATGCTTAATGCAGCCGCACGTCGATCGAATGCCTCCTCGCTTTCACCACCGAGTCGCACGTACCCGCCGGCAGAAGTAGCCTCGCCAGTCCGGCCAGTCGATTGCCGAGACGAGCACAATGGCCCAATTGTTATTTGAAAGATGCAGGTCGGTTTTTGATATATGGTGAAGAAGACGTACTCACTGACATCGAACGCAGCCGCTGATGTTACTCTCGGTGTGGGCGTGGCACGTGTGTTTTACGCGACGCGCAAGTGCACCCAACCTTATGCCCCCCCGTAGCATGCGTCTGGTGCGGCGTCCTTGATGACCATCAACTTCCCTAACGCCGGTTGCTGACTTTGGCGAGAATGTCAATCGATTCGTGAAAGTGGCTTCGCCATTCATTTGAGATGGGCAAAAGGTAAAAATGAATCCGTAGACTCGGGAAATGATTCGGAAAACAGAAAGCGGGCTACGAGTTCGGGCGGACCGCATGGGCGGGCTCTAATTCAAGTTCATCTGACTTACCCTGCGGAAATCGAACCCGCGCCGCTAATGTAAGTAAATAAGAAATTCCACTAGACCACGCAGGAGAAGGGCCGCCCACAAGGATTTTGCTTCATGATAACCACTATTTTCCAAATAAGCAAACCCGCCGTTCTTCCGAGCACTAAGATCAGCGTTTCGAGCTCCAGAAGTGTCTTTCATTTGATCGGGTCGACACAAAATGATATCTGAAATATGTTTAGAAGAATGAAGCTTGCTATCGCTGGTATCCGAATGGTTCTTTGCCGAGTTTACCGTTGATGATGGACATAATACTGTTGGTCTACGGCTGTATATATATCGGATTCTAAGCTGAGATACAGCGACTCTACCTCAGGTACAGAATACAGTATCGCCAAAGAGCACGCGACGAATCTTTAGCAGAGAGAATGTCATAAAGAAGACTGACCGGTGTATATGTGGCCATATCGATTCTAATTTCTAGCAATCATCATTTCGCACTGTTTATCGACTTTTACACAAGGAACAAAAACCTCACTATGACGGGACCGGTGTTTACCGTTAGCCGCCACTTCACCGCCCGGGAGTCACCCACACTGCACATCAACAGAGGGACCCACTGGTCCGGCCCCGTTATCACCAGCTCTCACTCTTAACCCTCACTCACCTTTGGCCCTCACCGTCCATCACCGTCCATCACCGTCCATCACCGTCCATCACCGTCAACATACTCTCACCATAAACCCGTCAACACCATCACACACCGACACACCAACCACTCACCATCGACACTCCGCATCTCCCTACATCCGGACCAAACCTGGTGCCACTGCCAGCCAGCAGGCACAAGTGTTCACCAATGGATATCTTTGGATTTCAGCCGCCACCCAGATTGGCCACCCCGCTATCAGCCATGGCTCGATACTCTAATTCACACTGCGTGGAAGAGAATGTCCATTCTTGAAGCTCAGAGCGTGCTTAAGCGCTACAAAGTACATTGTTCGAACCAGAGCCATGTACGGTGGCATTTACATACAATACGGAAGTCAGTTTGCACCATTTATTATTGGATTCTTGATTCTATCGATTCTTTGGAGCAGGTCTTGGCTTCTTCGAGTACTCTCGAATACTAGTCTCTGACACCACGAAGAGGTGCCTGCAATCGTCAGAGGATCAGGACGAGAACCGCGGCGCCACGGGTCGCCTAACAAGCACAAATTTGATAACGCAGGGCTCAAGGTTGCATGGAAGCTCAAGATTATACAATTACAGGGCTCAAGGCTGTGAGGGAGAACTTGGTGTCGCGGCGGTCTCCCGCGGAGAACTTGGTGTCGCAGATGTCCCTGCGGAGACTCTTGGTGTCGCAGATGTCCCTGCGGAGGCTCTTGATGTCGCGGAGGTCCCCGCGGAGCACATTTATACAACACAGGGCTCATTGGCTGTAAGGGAGCGCATTTGTACAACACAGGGCTCATTGGCTGTGAGGGAGAACTTGTTGACGCAGCACTCTCCTGAGGGTCTCAATTGGTAACGCAGCGTTCCCCTGCAAGGCAGACTTGATTACGCGGGGCCTTTTCCGCGAAGACTTTTTGGTAACGCAGATCTTATCCTGTGAAGAAAACCCGAGTGCTCGGGAGTGTGAGGAGGAAAGTCCTGCTTTGCTTTTCGACGGGAAGAGAGCGTCTTTTATGCCATTTCGAGTACGTTCTTCGGCAGTGACCACTTGCGTACATCGTGCCAGACCTAGAGATTTCCACTCGACATTCGCACCAGGCGACCGCATTTTCGCTGGGCGTTGAGGCGGTTGATTCAACGTTGAAATAAGAATTTTCAAGAGTTCGGGCTGGGTAGCGGGTGGAGTTGCACGCCCCACCTGGACCCGTTGGCTCTCCTGGGTCTAGACCTGACGAATTCTTCGCCCCGTCAAAGTTGTTGACCTAGCTGAAACGGTCTTCAACGCAGCTGGCATGAGGTGTAGATCGAGATGGCGTTCCATGGTCCAATCGCCTTGGCAGATTAATTTTATGTAGCGTCAGAAGTCTGCTAATGTTGCCTCGTTAGCGAGTCGATCTGCGAGTCATTGGCCTCAACGTTGCTGAACAAGGTGAACGGCTTCCACGCAGCCACTATGTAGGTGTAGGTAGAAGAAGCTTTCCCTGGACAACTCGTCTCGGCGGATCGCTTGCCTGCACACTCCATTTTTTCTCTGCAGGCGTTTTGCCCTCGCCTCCTTGGGAACAAATGCTTTCTCCCTTCATCCTCTCCGTTACCCTGACCGTTATCTATTCCGTCGTGAGTTACAGCCACTGCAAGCTGCAAGGTCTCATGCCGCCAACATCTCTATTACACCTGCCAGCACATGAAGATCGGAGCTTTTCGTGGGCCTGCACCCAGAAATCGGCGGGAAAGGTGCCACCGATGAAGAGATATCGACTCCGACCCCGTCGCCAGAACAAGGTTTCGTCGAGCCCCGATCGAGACTCCCTTCCGGTCCAATATTCAGGATCTTCACGATCCATCAATTATCGGTAAATCATCCCGGGAGTCCTCTAGAAATCGCTTCGTTCTTTAATTGACTTGTCGTAGGCCTTTGAAACGCTTCCTGGAACATTGTCGGGGCATGAACATTAAAGGTGGGCTAGAACAAGAGGCTGGCATGCCTTTGCTAATTGTCTTTGATAAAACTTATTGAAACTCTGTTCCCCATGCTACGACTGCCTATGATGCCTATCCCTTTTCGAGCCAAATATTTGATCCTCCAAGCCCTGCAACGTCATCTCGAGCATTCAGCCTTCCAATTTCTCCAAAAATGGCTTCTGCCACAATCTTTGGCTGTTGGCTAGACATGCCCCGAGGCGCTGGAGCTGCACGAATTCTTCAAAGTCGTCGCTAAATCTCGATCGGCAATCTCGTCTGAGCAATGCTGTGAAAACCTTAGCTCTATTCAGAGCCTGCACCATCCAATTGCTAGCATCCGCCACGCCGCTGTGCATCGTCTGGTTCAAGGCAGCGATAGTCTGCTTCGAATTAAGTGCGCTGCCATCGAATTTTGTCTATGCATTAGCGAGAGTCTTTGTCGTCTCTTCGAGTTTCTATACAAAACCATCCCGAGATCTAGCACTGTACAGAAGCAGAGACAGCAGACTACTCCATCTCATGCTTCTTTGCTGAAGTTCCCTCTTTGCGAACGCCCGGACCACCGATTGCCTAAATTTCCGGACATGGCCAGAAAACTCATCGGATGCATCGAAAAGGACCTCGTTCAAGCAGTGGAGAACTTTTTACAGTTGAATTTCCCTGACGCCTGTCACATTGGCCGACCGGATTTATGTTCTGGATATTATTGGATTGATGTAAGAGGCTGAACGAGGACAAGATGAGCCGAAGAATTCATTGATGAAAGGCGGCTCGGGATCTGGGCTTGGCTCTGCTTTATGAACCAATCCTGCTCTGTTGTATACCTGTCTTACGATAGGTAACAAATCACCACAATGGTTGTGATCGCAGCAGCAAGCATCGGGGATGTCATTATCCCTAATTTCATGTCCCTTTTCCCTAGTCTGAATCGAGACAGCGATTATGGTGAGGCCTTAGCCCATGAGACAGCCTGGCTGTTCCTAAGAGCTTGAGGAAGGACATATAGGCAGGAACAATGTCATACTGCCGAGTCCTCGTTCTGATAGGTGGGAAAGGACGGCTGAACAGACAATTGTCTTTTAGAACCTTTTTTGGCAAACCTTTCGAGAGCTTGCTCATAATTTCTGACGCTGTTTTGTATTTGCTTTCGCGCTGCGAGGATGGCTGGATTCCTCTACCATTATGGATTTAATTTTGACACAAAAGGCGTAGCACAAGAATGTCTGGATGGGCCACCCATGTGTTTCCCTCGCATATCTCGATGCTTTCTGTGCTGCCCTCGATGAACTAACATTGAAGCCTAGAATTGTCACATAAGCTTCTCCTAAAATCTCCTCCCGCCGATGTTCCAACTCGCCGCTCAAAACACAAAAGCACACTCGATCCCATCCATAGCCTCGCCATTTTCTAGAAGAACACTCCCATTGAAATGGTAGCCCGGGGGCAGACAATAGTTTTTTTTTCCATAGTACCACTTTCCCGTTTTTCGCAAATGTGTCCGTCTTTCTCTTCATTGTTCTGCACACATCCGAATGCTTAACAGTATTTGGATCCTGTGTCGGCTCGATGTAAGGAAGAAAGGAACTGCTGTTTGCATTCTCATAAATATCGTCCCAGTCAATTGGGAAACAAATGCCACCGATCGAACACATCATTTTTTCTCCCCAGTCATCGAATGAAGGCTCGAGCACCATTCGATATACTCCCATTCCACTGAGCCACACCTCTACAGTGTCTATACCTGGTGGCCGTACTTTTTTCAAATCACGGCCCTTGGGTTGAATCATAACCTTTGCCTGAAAGATCTTGTGCGCCTCTCTGTATGACATCGATGCTAAAGCAGGTGCGTGACTGTGAGCATCTGGTGGGATGCATACAATCCAGATTCGAGGCACCGGTAGATCATTGCCACGTGAAATCTCTTCAAGTTGTCGGCTCCAATAGCCTGCGGGGCATTGAATTCTTTCCGTTAAATTCAAAACGCCGTGGCCGAAAATAAGGATACGGTGACGGTCTTGAAACAGCGGATCAAAGAATTGCATCGTGGGGTCGACGTCGCGCAGCGGGCTCAAATACTTGTCCCGGTTGAGAAAGGCGTCCCAAATCCCAAGCAAGTGCGCGACCAGAGAGACTTCGGTAGCCGTGAGTCTACTCAAGAGCAGGTCCGTGAGCCCATAGAATTCAACATTGGTCATTATCAGCTCGACCAGATAGGCAATTATATTGCGATATGATCGTGGAATGGCGTACTTGAATACCCATGGTTTCGGCCTCATCTTTGGGCGACGAGAAGGCGAACAGATGATATCGGGAGAGATTTAAGGAGAAGAAGGGGGTGGACTTTTACAATTTTGCAGAGTTTTGCAGAGTTAGATCAGGGAGGAAAATACCCAGCTCTGTAAAAGGTAAAATTGAAAGACCGAGGCGACTGTAGGTGGATGGGAACCAGTGAACCTCTGACCTGCAAAAAAAGTCCAGTGGTAATGTACTGTATAAGAGCTTCTGCAAAACTTTTGATGTCGCGAAGCAACTTAGAATGGGCGGGCATGCAGGCGATAATCGAGCTGTAAAGAGCCTTGAAATTTTTCTTCCCGATCTATAGGAAGATTGGTTATTGTTGTAGAGGTTATTACTTCAATACATTGATACGATAATATTTTCAAAGATTTCGCGCGGTATTGCTGTTAGCTTAAGACGATAGTTGTAATTTACCCGTTACACTGTTAGGTCAATCCCCGGAGGGCGTCCTGATACGATAAGGATACGAGTGAAGAATGTGAGATATGCCTGATATGGGTATGATGATATTCAGACTAATCGCTGGTCTTCCTAAGAAGATCCAGCTCTTCCTTTTCAGGGGATCCTCTGTGCGTATGCAAGCAGGTAAGCGAGGTGATGTATCAACAGGCGGCCCCGGTGGTGGATAGGCACCTCCTCCGCATTTCCTATACCTCACTGTACGGTTGGCGTAACATACACTCGGAAAAGATGTAGCCATTCTCTCCACATCGCCTTGTCCCCAGAATTCTTATCGCGGCGCTTGAATAGATTTGATTCAAAAAATTACGATGTATTGAAAATCCTCTGTAATCATTTGGTATCTTTACACTCCTGGGAATCGGAATGTGGAGCCCCGATGATCTTTGCTCAAGGTGAAGGCAGCCGAATGACCCCATCAATCCACCCCGACCAATCTAATGGTCTAGACCGACAGCGACGAGCGCCACTCCTGTACCGACATGAGCGACTGCAGTATTTCTGGGAGCTGTGCTGGAGGCTCAGGGGCTCAGAACCACTCGTATTCGACTAACCACTTCGGGCGGCGCACGGGGTCAGCGATCATGCATTCATGCAAATGATGCAGAATCTATGGATCGGTATATCTATGACCTTGTCGCCTGGCCCTGGATTATGATCCCCAGTCTTCCAAGATGAGGATGGACGGCATATCGCAGACTAGCGATGGCAGCCAGAAAGGTTTGTTCTGCCACCATCATCACACTCACAATCGTTTTCTACCTTTTGCTAACCAAGGCCAATCATACTTCGGCCATCAACAGAACGCCTTCGTCTTCATCCTTGGGCACAGCCTCTACAAAGCTTGGTGCCTCCATGGATGTCCTGGGCGAGGACGCCAACCGAGAGACAGAAAAGGTACAGTCTAAGAAGAGGGATTAGCGCAGGAACGAATTCCAACAGCTTGTCCTTCAAGGAATCGATAAGCATCAATTGCATAGTGTTGAGCTCGCTACGAGCGGCAATATAGATACCGAACCGGAGACACCAAATACTTCTTCAAGCGGGGGAAATTCTGCTCCAAACTGGGGGATAGGCTTGGGTCAAATATTGAACAAAGGCCCTTCGAAAATTGCTAGAGACTTATCACAAAGAAGTCTCGAGAAACGAGAAAGGTCCCTTTTTATGATTTCGTTCGGAAAGCGTTGGGTCTACCCTCTGAGCGAATCAAGACATTTCTTTGGACATATGAAGTCCTCGGTGCCAAACTTTACTTTGATTTGATCAAGGCCCCGATGCATCTCAGCCAATTGCTTGGTCTTAAACAGGTATTTTGTTTTTCTGCTCGTGGTGATCTATCTATGGGTCTTCTAATCATACATAGAGCTTGATAAGATCTCAAAGCAACCCTTTCATCCATGCTACCATCGAATACACTTGGCGGAAGGCAGGCCGAGCAGTACTCCAAAGACTGGAATGTGACTGCCTAGAGGGAGCTAAAGCAGACATTTTAGCTCTCACGCTGGAGGCATATCTAGACAAATTTATAACCCTGTCCCTACAGGAGGTCTTGGAGAAAGCAGACTCGGCCCAAAGGATATTGCAGGACTTCCAGGTTTTGAAAATTCGGTTGCAAAATTCTTTAAACCCGCTTGAGGTGGACTGGAGCTCGCCACTCGACAACAGAAATGCATTCCTAGAGCAGTTGCGATGGAACGACGTCCCAGCTCTCGCGGAGCTCGTATCGAGCAAAGATGTTGCTCTGCTTAGAGAATATGCGCAAACCGCATTTGCCGATGATGGGGCCCAGGCGCGTTCCATCTTGGGCTTCCGATGGAATCAGCTGGTGACTGAGGTGAAACAGTGCATGGCTGCTGAGATCGGGCTGGAATCTCAGATTGATAGCCTTAATCAGGTGTTTTTAAACGGACCTACCTTCGGTCTCAGCTCTGACGGATAATCTTTTGCAGGCTTTCCACAACATTCGCAACTATTATTCTTTAACAGCTGTGGTACAAGGTATCCAGGCAAGTGGTTTGCAAACAAAGTGCTCAACAAAGTACGGCAAGCTTGTCGACCCCACCTGTGGCTACCAAGCTTATCGTAAGAACACGGCTGAGAGCCCTTCGCTGCATTTTCTGTTGCCAGCACTGTCTGCATTGGCGCGCAATGATTTGAGCTATGCAGGAGTAGTGTCGGCGGATATTGCACTATACGTCGAAGAGCATTGTTATCCTTAGTCCGAAATGCGCCTTGAGCACGGAGCTGCTCCGGAAGTCTATGGGCATCTGGGCTTCCCATGGGGAAAAGAGAAGTCGTTTAATAAATCCACCATTTGGACCCTTTTGACTGCCAGCTTCAGGTGCTAGAGCAAAAACTGAATGCACAGCCTCGCAGCGTTGTTTAGGTACAATTTCATATATTCCGCAAGCATGAATGCACGTGTCACAGATACATGAAGCTACATATAAATTAGATATTAAGCTGTTTCTGGCTATCTGCAATTTCCAGCGCCATGAACCTTTTTTCCAGTGTTAGCATTGAAATTACACCCTTTTTCCATTGAGCGGGAGTACCTCTTCTTGGTCTTGAAGACGTAGGCAGTCCTCAGATATCGCTCATTCGTCCAGCGTCCCGGTTTGTCATGTCCAGGAGGCAACTCTTTAATTTCGGAAAGCCCCATCGCGATGAGGTATGTAGGAAGGAAAGTGGCGGGGACTTTTGATAGCAGGCTCATATGCGTTTGATCGCTTTTTTCCCAACAGTGGCGGTCGAAATCTACCATCTTATTGAAGTACTGCCCATCTTCGTCCACACACTCGGGACACACGTGAGTCATTCCTGTTGAAACTGCAATTTGCAGATAGATCTGGATCTTAGATTGTACAAAGTCCTCTGCTTGGGAGGCTATATTTGAGACAACAACGTCTCTTGTAAACGCAACGATTCGCTCGCGTGGCAGGTCGAGTTTGGGGTCCTTGTCTGTTGGTTTCCATCCTATGACTATTTCGTAGCTGTATCGGAACTTTGCCTCCTCCCGTTCGGAAAGCCCTTTGTGATCTTCAGCTTCCTTCATCTGTTTCAGGTGATTTCTCAAGTCGCTGCCCTGGGAATTTGACTTGAAGCAGGCCGGACAGACGTAGTTTTTGCCCGCTTTGATGAGCATGCCTTCCAATATGGAAGCTTTGCGTTCGTCATTCAACATAGTGAGAGGGAAGAAAGCCTTGGAGATCTTAGTTTTGGAAGAAAAAGCCTTTGATAAATGCTGTTGGTACTCTAATTAAGCCGTCAAGATATAATGCCAGTATCTCGGACACTTGCTCCATTGGGTCCAACTATTCATGGCCTTCGCTTGGACGTGCCGGTCAACATCCTCGATAATTTGCAGTGGGTGCCGTATCGTGCATGCTAATTTCAAACAGATATGTGCGTCAAAATTTTTGCCAGATAATGGAACACGAAAGCTCTTGTTGCTGGATTTCAGGCTAACGAGGGTGCTGATGCGCATTCTCCAGCGGTAACTAAGCGTTCAAGGTCTGGGGAACGATGAAATCATGAGCTACCTGAGATATCTTTGGGACTAGTCTTGCAATCAAAATATTTCTTGGGACCGAGAGATTGAGATTCACTTGTAACCGTATTTGCTTTGTTAACATACATCCTTCTCTAGTTGGCCCAACTGTTCACCTTGTTTCGAGCTCTGTCTGTGGTTCTCTTAGTCAAACTTGCTTTCAACTTCATTGAGCCGAAGAAATGCACATTTCTTCCTTTCCTCAGACTCTGACGCCAATTCTGCCATGTAATTTATTGCATTCTCCCGACTCATTCCTTTTTCCTGAAATATATGGGCTAGCTTTTGCAGCTTCTGACAGGGCCATTGAGCCTTCACCACCGCTGCCGTCGCTTCTGCTCCGATTGCTTCATAGTCTTCCCAGAAGCAAGTTTCAGGCCATTTATTTCGCCAAAAGTGAACCATGACTTGGTCAATACCACATTCAGCTCCCACGAAAATGATAGTCTGTTCTTGGGATGAGTTTACGCAACCGGTTTTTCATCGGATCACTTACGTCTTTCTTTCGGTTGTTGCGATCAGCTGTACCACCCCAGAATTTCAGAGATTGCAGGCCACTGATTTGCATCATGATTGTTACGAACAGCTTCGTAGTAGGAGGTGAGGCTAATGCATGAGAATATGAGATATCGAGATCTTTGGTTAGATAAAAGAATTATAGAAACTTGTGGTGGGTGTTTTAGATCACTGTTGCGGTCGGGCGACCCGTATTAACTTATAGAGATTGCACATATAAGCTAGGACTTCTAGAGCTTCGAAATCATGCGAGTAGCGATCGCGACCGTAAAGTTTCTCATTTGGGATGTAAAATGATGATACAAAAACATTTAATTACGCCGCTTTGCGGGGGCTGACTGGGGAACACCTGCTCCTGCAAACATCAGCCCCTGCATCGCTAGTCACCGACGATCGCCGTGCCTAGGCTTGTGATTGTGGGGCTCATGAGATCGTAACTAATCGCCCGAAGCCAGTAACAGCTCATACTCCAAAGTCTTGGGTCGAATCCACTACCACATAGTTAGGACCAATCACGGACTCGTCTCTTGAGCCTACTCACCTTGTTTCCATTGCAAGACGAACTCCAGCCGGAAACACTCATGGAACGAGTATGTGCCCTTTCGACCCCTACCCAAAGGCAATTCTGTCTCCGGTACTGTTGCCTTGAGGGCAGTAAAATAATGAGGAAGAAACAATTGGCAATCTGGGCCCTTGTACGCGAGGCCCGTGTGGACATCGTCTTTCAGTTGGTTGCAATGGTAATAAAACGCTTTTGTAGTGCTGCAGAGAACCAAACAGAGTGGACAAACATAATCCTTTTTAGCATTCCTGACAACTTCCCACACAATTGCAAGACTCCTATCCAAGGTGTTGAATTTGAGCTGGCCTTTTTTTTCCAGGACAAAATCGACTTCAAAGAAAGTGTAGAATGGCCGACGTCCAGGTCGTCGTCCCGTCTGATTGAATTTGATTGGAAAATCATCTTTTGAGATGGTTTCCCAACCCATAGCTGTCCTATAGCGATCCAAAAATAGGATAAAATCTCCCTCTCTCTTTGACAAACCATTGTGGATGCCGTTGTGATCCTCCTCGGTGTCAAAATGCTTGTATAGCACATCCTGGTCGCGAAACCCCAGATCGCATGCAACGCAGACGAGCCCCAGCCCTGAGCTCTTCGCTACGTCTCTTAGGAGGCAATACTCTCTCAGGGTATCGTACATCTTGGAGTTGTAGCTATGGCCAGCCAATATCGGAACAAGATAGGAGTGAGTATATTCCTCTCGGGCGTTGAGGGATAATATACTGATTTGATCGTATCTATATATATTCAATCAGGACGAGGTCATTTATATGGATGACGCCAAAAAATAAACACGTACTTATGCTAGATCTCGTACCTGAATAGTATGTATATGCTCTTTGTTCGTTTGTCGTTTGCAAGAAAGAGTTGATTGGCACACTTCACCTGGCTGGCCACTACGCCGTAAAAACATTCTGGAAGCTTTCATTTGAGGTTCCTCTGAAAATACTTAATACACAGCTTATTGAATTTCAACCTAGATGCTGCTTCTAAGTCTTCCTAACCTTAAAACAGCATTCAAGATGAAATATGCATTGGTGAGTTGAAGAGTCGAGCAGATCACCAAAATATGTACAATAGACTGTCCAACCAAATATTTTAAATATTCCTAGCTTGGAAATCTGTCAAAGAAATTTCAAATGTGCAATAACTGAATACAATATCTGCGCTTCCCGAGTTCTTTAGAAGGGTTCCTTAGAAGAGGTGTTATGAAAATAATCCGGTTCTTCGGCGAGTTTCGCGGAGAAAGTTTCACATAACAGAATATGCGACACTTTGTGCTACAGAGTATAATTCATTTATCGGCTCAATCCAGCGCATTCTTGTTCCAACATTGTATGATCTTTACCGGCCGGTAACTCACAGCTTCCATCACAATTCACTGGTCGGTTTGGTCGCTACCCTATCGAAAGACAGCCAATGGGCTGCGTCTAACCTGCCGCAATGGATCGCAAATCGTCGAAGAAACTCTTGACCATGTCCGGGATATGGGATTGGGAAATTGTTTCCCAAAAGCCAGTCCAAAGCGGAATCGGGTTCCGGGTGAAAGAGAAGAAAGTCTTGCGGAGGTAGGCAATTGTTCATCAAAAGCCTGTTGGTTCCAAATGATAGCGAATCATCTCAAGCCAAAGAGAAGAATCTTTCTTCACCACATCAGCAAGATCTATACCTCTATGATACAAACGAGAGGCTAGGCCCATGCTTGCAAATCGGCAAATGCTGCGGATTTCTCTTTCCTGGAGAATCTCTCCCAGATCCAACGGCATTTGGTCAACCTTTTCCCAACAGATACCAAACACAACCGAGTTCGTCGCCGCTAGTTGAAGAATTGACCTCCCATCCCACATCTCTGCCACCGATGCAGGAGCAAGAAGATGTAGCGGACTCATCGTGCAAATCATGTAGCCAATCGTTTCGAGAGCGTTTTTCTGAAAGGCAAGAAGGAAGAGGCTGTGCCCAAAGCGGCTGTAGTAGCATGATCGAATAATGCCTTGTCGGACCAGAAAGTGAAAGGCACGCGGAGACTCATGGACGCAACACGAAGCAACATCTGGATGTGCATGCTCGCTTTGCAGGCATTCCTGGCTGTCCACAACTTGATCGAAGTCGGGAAAAAGTTTCCAATGAGCGAGAGCAGACTTGCGAGCCCAGTTGCTTTGTAGAAAAATGTCCAAGCCAAAGCGAAGTTCGGCATCGGCCTGCTCATAGTATGTCAAGATATGATGCAGCGCTTGCTTCGATTTGAATATGTCGGAACAGAAGAGGCAGTCAATCTGTGACATGAACCACCCGTAGCTGCGAGCTCCATTGTCATTTTGAACCCTTTTCTCGTTGAAGAATTGGTCGGCGACCTCCATGGAGTGATATCAAGTACAGAGGAAAGAGGGTGACAGTAGATGGATAGATGACTCCCTGCTCCAGAGGGGATCATTTCATTTAAGCTAATTAACGACCTAGCTCATATTTCCGTTGATTTTCGTCTTGGCTGCAGCTTTGCCACCAGCAGCATGAGCGGAAAAAACTTCTCGTACCATCTGCCCAAGTTACCAAGTTCATTTTCGAGATTAAATGTGAACTTGGGCGACTTGTGCCACGTTTTAATAACACACAGGACTATTCACAGTCACTACCGTTTTCTCGATCTGAATTTCTCCACCGAACATCTTTGCTGTCTCCGACACTTTGATTTCGTGTGTTATATCCCCATTTCGTGTGGGAAGCCATTGTTGGACTTTCTGACTTATCGTGTCACTCTTGAAATAGATGGCCCAGTCTGATCCATTGTTCATCTAGGCGTTTTAGTCAAAGAAGATCACCTAAATGGCATTCATACCATACCAGAAAAAAATTCAATTGCCCCAGAGCAAACTTTGCTGAAATGACCAGAGTAGAGTTACTCATTGTTATGTTTGCAGATAGGTTTGAGTTGGTTGATAGTAGTCGCAGGGGATTTGCAAATGGAACTGTTCATATTTAAAGCATTCCTCGATGCGATCCTGAGTCTTTAATAAATTGAAAACCAGATGTAATTCGGAAGTATACCAAGCCAGAACTTGCTTTCCGCTCAGGTGGGGAAGAAGAGAGGTAAATATCTTGTACTAATCAAAGCGTGCTTTGAATCTGTGGAATAATGTTGCTGGAAGATAATATATGGCAAGAAAGCTATAAAGTGGTGGGGTATCCAAATTCGATTTTTATGGGGTTGCGCTCCCCGTAAAAAACATATTTGGATTAGCGTGGTCAAAAGAAGCCCCGCTAGGCAGCGAGTCACATGCGCCAGCGACTTTCAGCCCTAACTTATCCGACTTTCATTTCTTCATTCATCCTCTGATGCAAAATTATCGCGGAAGATGTTTGCTCACCGCAAGAAAAGTCCCCCAAAGTTATCCTACAACGAAGTTATCGCAGCCTTGAGAGATCTTCCAGGAGAGCAGACTTTCGGTCATGTTGAAGATTCTCAACAGCTCGACTTTCTCCGACGAATTTATCGACCGCTCCACAAGTTGTTCGCTACGTCTACAACCACTTCCAAGGTGAATTGTGCACGAGTCAGAAAAATAAAAAGCTTTCAAATACCTCAAACTTTACAACATCGTTTCTCACGGTTTGAAAAAGATCCTTTGGAATTTTGGGAAATGCATGTTAAGCCATTGACGCGATATAGCGACAAGGCCGAGGAAGACAGGGCTAAGTTATTCCTTAAAAATGCAGCTCATTTGGAAAATAATGTTGATGAGCAAATGATTTTGCGAAGGCTTGTAGCTGTATCATCCTACAAACTCTTTCGGCGAGCAATACCAACGTCAGACCAGCGGATTATGAAACCTAGCGTTAAGAAGTTTTTATCTCACGTCGGATTGTCTGTTTCAGAAGATGATGTTGAGACAATTAAAACATTCAGTGACATCCTCCATCGAGGAAAACGACAAAAGGATTTCTGCGAAGAGTTTGCTGTTGAATTCTCAAATGATGACAGCCTGGAAGCCACTCGCCCAAGCAGTAGCGAAGACGACAATCATATATATAGACCATTATTCTTCTCGTCTATCCCAGATAGCATGTGAGTTTGCGATAGATATCATCAATGGCAGTTGCTAATTAGATTTCAGATGGGATGAAAAAGGTCTGGTTGGAGATGATTTCCATACTACTATTGAGCACCTTCGCAACGTCGATATATTAAAGAAGGCCAAAGACTCGGACGCTGCTCGCATGGCCAAAGTCTTACTAGACTTCCACAAGGAACTCGTTTGGGTTTCCGAAGTGGCAACGAACAAAGTTTCCGCACTGAAAAGGAAAAGAAATGCACAAAGTTTCCAAGGGGGCCGTCAAAAACAAAGCTTCCCAGCATCTATTCCCGCTACAGAGAGTCTCGGCCCCCAGGCTATCCAGCCATTATCAGAATCTATGTCAGAAACAAGGTCCGCCTCAAACACTACACAATCAGGGCTCGAACCAGATCATTCTATCCATTATGCCTCACAGTCAACCGTGGTGCCAACAATAACCTCCACCCAGGAACCGCCGCGCCCTGAGGAGACCCTTCTTCATTTTAATGCCCTCGATTTCGTTAGTCCACACTTTTCGACCACCCACGCTGGCAATATACTTAGTGTAACGGATCTCGATTTTTTAACTCCCTTGCTAGATACATCCTCCACTGAGTTTGTTAATTCGCAACCTGGAGTTCTCGATTTCCCCCCTTTCTCGCCAGTTGTTCAGAGTCACTATCAAGAGGGATAAATTAACGATTGCTCAGTGGCCTAAGTTCCTAACCTTCCATACTAAATACAAAACATTCCCCTCCGGAATTTCCACACGAACCTTTTTAGAGATGCACATCTTCTTCCCAGTTAATAAAGGGAATGTCCGTTCTCCATCCCTGATCATACAGTTCTCGCTTTGCTAAATAGGTATCAGTTCCCCTTCTTTTAATTCCCAACCGGAGTTCGATGTTCGAAAGGCAGCAACATAAGAATCCTGTATGTGTGAGCAATTCTTTTTCTCTTCGGGGTAAGGACGTTGTCGGGTGAATACAAGGACGAACCTAGGCGAGTTCCTAGAGTATTTCACGTAATTTGATTTCTGAACACTGCTCAACAAGCTTAAATCGGGGGGACTGTCGCCATTCTGCATAAGGATTGGCCTCCAGCCAGGTTTTCAACTCCTTAGTAACCTTCTGCTCGATCTGTTCGAGGGGCTCTTAGAAGATTTCGTCACTCGTGGACTCACTCATGTGGAAATCTGCGATAGTGGTTCTAGAATGAGCTAGGAGGATTTAACTATATGTCTGCCGTCTCTAACAGGAAACCGATAGCGATGACCTAGTAGGTATACAGCTCTCAGCTTCTGTTGCTGCCTACAAAAGCAACGCGTCTTTAATTAGTGGACACAGCTCACATACAAGCCTCCAGGAAATGCTTTCAGAGCCAAGCGCTCACCCAGATATAATCAAGTTTGTATTGAAGTTGAAGTTATTCTTGAGTAATGTATCAGCTGCATACAATCCGATGCAAGGGTGGCATAGATCAAAAAGTAATGTAAAAGGCTTTCATTGCCCGACGCCCATGTCTGGCAGCAAAGTAGATTTTTTGACTTGCCCCGCGCATCACGTGCCTGTCTGATAAGCCCCACCAATTTGCTTTCAATGTTTAGCCTTGTGTTTGCATTGTTTGTATTCAACGGTCCGCTCAAATTATTGAGTATCACGGGGTAGTCAAAGCTCATCGCGGGACTAGCGGCGACGTTGATAGCTTTGACGGGCACCAGGGGCCAACTGTTGCCGATGAATTTTTTCCCTCTGCTTCAATTTTATATAACACACTGCTTTTGCTCCCCGTCTATGCGACATGTAAAATATGCATTAATCGACACATGCATCAAAATATAACGCATTTCAGGCAAGAGTTAATACCTGCGGGCGTCCGAGCTTCATCGGGCTTCATATGTTTTCCCTCTTGATAGCATATAAAACTTCTGCCGACGGTCCCCGTCCAGCCAACACAACTTATTTCGTGGTCAAAATGGGCCTATCAGATATTTCTCGATCGACCGAGTGGCCTACTAAAAGACAGCGTGGATTCTCTAAATACTCAGGAGATGAAGCTACCGCCGGCCTACACGGCCTGTTCCGAGAACCTCTGAGGGGTGCAAGTATCGAGTGCAAGGTTAGGTTCTTCTAGTAAGAAATCTAGAGCCTAGTGAACGGGCAATAACATACCGCTGGCGCTGCCGGCCTTCTGACGACCGAGCTCAAGAAGATCTTACGCATAGGCTCATCTGTCGCAAAGCCAGCTCTCGACCTGCTTGACTTATTCCTGTGTCTTTGGCAATGTTATGTTGTCAAATTCTCCGGGAAAATCTGATTCGAGAACGAGCGACACCAACTCTGGCTGTCAAACGAGGACCTAGAAGCTGAAAATGGCCTTCTCCTGCAGCGTTCTCTATCATAATCAAACTTCACCTGGAGAGCTCTTTCAACCAGGTCATGCTCAGACTTGATCATTGCCAACCTCTGCTGATCAGCAAGCGGAAGCAACGTACAGAGACACCGAACACATTACAACACCAACTGCTGATCCCAATGGTCAAGCGTCTGCAAAAAAGTTTATCCAAATCAAGTTCTGGTCACTCGAACGAGGTAAGTGGAATCAATCAGACTGTATCCTCGTAGACCGGTCGGATCCCTCGCCTGTGGAGCGGGTCGCACGAAAGTATTCATGCAAAGGATAAGCACTCTATGATGTGAGCCTCAGAAGCTTACGCCCAGTCCACTGTTACCGCGCGGCAACAGCGGATGATACCAATGCGATATTCTTAATTTCCGCGCATGAAGAGAAAAGCGTTGCGGCTGTGGAAGGATTCTGGAAGGAGGAGAAACTGATTTCCATGGCTGCTCGCGTTGTAGAGCATGCAGGAGAGCGATGAACCAATTTGCCCGGTCGTGCGCGGTAAAATCAGGATCCGTCTTCATGTGAATCATTGGTTCCTGCAAAGTCCTTCGTAGAAAGCTGATGAAGACAAGAGTCATCTTTTGAGGGGCCCCTGTTTCTAGGATGACCCTCTCAATAGGCTACTGTTCTTGTGAAGTGCCACCAATTAAGAGAACCTCAAACCTACATTTAGCTTGGCAATACAGACACGTTTGTAGAGAGGATAACCTGTTAGCATTTGTGCAAGCTTTGGCCTTATCATATGTACTCTCGGCACCTATTTGGCAGTGGCTGTCACACCAAACTCGAGCCGATATCCTCTCGTGGTAATTCTTTGTGGCGCGAGCACGATGCCATGTCTTAAGACATTCCAGGGCGGCCCGGAAGCATGTTTCTACAGCTTCATATCTCTGAAAGATCAATCAGGGTTATATTGCAGTCCTGTTCTCGAAATGCATCCTCCAACAATGGCTAGGTCAGGCTGGCAAAGTGCTCCAAGATACTGTGTCGATGCCACCTGCCGAGGCAATGCGTGGTGTTGTGTGGGAGAATGGTGTCGGAGTCGTCAAGGATTTCGGATGGGAATTGTGTTTCGCAAGGCCATAAATCGTCCGAGCGACTTGGCCCAAGCATTGTTCCTAGTGGCTTCGGTGGTGTTTCTTGGGATCCTGAGGCGGCTGGTTCGGTACATCATGTTTCTTGGAGACAGGTCTTCGATGATCGCATAGCGAAATTCTCTATTCACCCCCTTAATTGCCGGTCTGGCAGGCGGCCCGGGATGTTCAACCGGAGATGAACTGGCAGAAGGGTTTAACGGGAAAAGATCGCAGCATGAATGCTTGCTTGGTACTTTTCGGGGTTTCTGGTCGTAGCGAGGTAGTCTACATTGGAATATTCACAGGGACGCGGATAAGTTCCGCATCTGTCCATCGTTTTCTACTTGCTCACCCTCCATTTGCGATGGGCTCGACTATGCCGATCGCTGGGAAATATATTTTTAAAAACCAGCGTTATTTGCAGGGCCTCTGGAATACGATGTTTTATGCAAACCAACACCTTGATAATAGCATGTTAGACAGAAATTGATGCCAGTGGAAACAGGAAAACAAAACAACCAACATCATGATATCAAAAGTAGGCTGGTCGATGAGTCTGCATACCAATTTATCCATACGATGTTGGGTGTCAAATATTCATCACCGAAATGAGCAATTATCATCGTTGGGAACAAGTTAAATGATGCCGCAGGATTTGTTTGGACTGGTAGAAGCTCATGTTTATGAAAGTCGACACGATGCGTTGTTGGTGTTTTGATCTGGTAGCTGCGTCGCGAACGTTGAAGCGACGTTGAAATCCTGGAATAAGACTTCAGAATAGTTTTTCATCGAGATGAAAGTTGCGGTTCCAATCGAACTAGCATATAATAAATCGTTAAACGGCTCAACAGGCCACGATATGAGGGCCAACTCGGTCGGACCCTCAATCACAGCTGCGCTAGCGGCAACGCGCCCGCAGCACTATAAAAATGTCCCCCAGACCCCAGCACAACGGTCTCTTTGAAAACACGCCCCAGTTAGCCCAACCCTAAGACATGATTAGTTGCTCTTCCACCTCGCCCGTCTTGGACTGACACGATTGAGCATCTTTAGTTTGGCCTATGTTTTGTGCCAGGACAAGAGAGCACAAAGTGGCACAGGTCTGCATCGGAAGATGGCCTGGGCTTGAACCTGCTTTCCGTGATTCGGACCGAACGTGATCTCTCATACTCGTGATTGAGCTGACGCTTGCAACATCGCCTCTAGCTTGTCTATGCTCGATGGAGAACTACACCCCTGGCAGGTATGTGGATCGATGCCAACATTTGACACCATGCTGAAAGATTCCCTGAGAATCATGCCTATTTCGAGTGTTACATGAGTCGAGTTGAAGTATGCGTCTTGTCTGGCTTTGGGAATCTTACTCAGGGTGTGAAAATAGTGATAATGTAGACCCTCCTTGTGATCTCTGCTGACTAGTCACGGGTAGATCGCGCCGAAAGAAGACTCTCACGTTGATTTTCAGAACCAGATATGATTGGTAGGATCTCATCAGTGGAGATTTTTGATCAGTCATCTTGGGCTGACGATTCGCTAGGTTTAAGGCAATGCTTCCAGCTCAAGCTGCGCGCTGTTAGTCAATGCTCGCTGAGCCCTTCCACTGTCGGCAGCAGAATCACTCGCGGTATAGGTCACCCTGGTACATTGCCATTATTATTGCCTATATTCATGGCCATGAGGTTGGATATTGGGTGAAGGTTGGGTATTTGTCCATTTTACACAGGATGAATCGCTAATGATTATTTCTTTTGCAGGTTCAATGACAATATTGCGCCCGACGCGACTGAGCTGGGAACGACCACCAAGCTCTCACCGTCATCGACACGGCCGGCTTGCTGAACAATAAATGGAAACGACCTTGGAACGGTGATGCCTTTACGCCGTCGGATCCGTCGGATCACGACCAAGGGTGTGTGGAAGCTCGTCGGCTCCTTGAAAGATGTCATCCGCCATCAAACCGCAGCAATCGAAACCACCCAGAATGAACTTCAGGAACTTGTACATGGCCAGAATATTCTTCAGGAACAAAAAGAAAAACCCACGAGGAGCTGAATGCTTTGCGAGCGCTAATCGAAGCGGCAAGGCCGACTGCCCCAACCAGATCCTGGGCCGAAGTGGCAACAAGGGATGACAGTTCATCCCCAAAAAGTCCACGGAGAACCGAGAGAGAAAACTAAGTGTGACCATAGGCGCCTCAGCCGTCGCACTGGATACAAATCTGGAAGTAGTGGAATCTGAACAAATTCAAGTGGGACAGATGGACCGTTGGGCAGTTCATGTGGCAGAGCTGATAGGCATCTTCTACACCATCAATTTTGTGTTCAGACTGACCTATCAGTACGACGGCAACGCGGTCAGACGTCCAATGAAGGCGTCGATTCTATGTTATGGCGAGTCGGCGCTACAATCAACCCAAAACGCCAGACTTATCAGGAAAACGGATTGTCCATGCAATTCTTTCAAGAGCCACACCAATTCAAGAGAAAAATGCTAGCTGGCGAAGATGGGATTTGCGGAGAAGCTGAGAGGGTGTTTTCAAATGCGATTCTATACGAAGATACAGCAGGATCCGGCGAAATCGGCAGAATGGCGAGAAACTTGGGCTTGAGGTGGGATTTAGGGGCAGGAACTGGGTTTCTGGGCTTTCGCCCCCAGACTTGGAGGCATGAACCCCTCGATCTGCGATGACCCAGGGAACGACTGACTACTCGGGAAGCTAAGCGGCAAGGCAGGACCCACCCCTTCCGAATGTTGCTGACAAGGGAGAACGCGTATCAAGGCTGGTTTTCCTAGTCGACTTATGGTTTCTGTGATGAAAGACTCATCATAATAGAGCCCCATAACTGTGGAATGAAGAGGCGTTCTTTCTGAATTTTAATTTGCCTATTCGATGGCGAGTCGGACTCTTCAGATCGAATTAGAAGTTGGATTACATTACGCCGGTCACGCTGCTGGCTGGCGCGAAAGATTCCCTTCGAGGACTAAGCTATGTGAGATTTCAAGCCTTCTCAACCTGCGCGCGCTTCCATAAGTCTCATAGAATATGTCTGCCAGAATACTGCGTGCTAAATCCGTCGACTGCCATATAAGCAAGAGATTGTTCCCTGTGTTCACTCTCAAAAAGCCTCGAAAGAAACCTCGCGCCATAATCTCTGGGTACCTTTGAGAATCCAATCAATACTAGCTACGTGGGTCACAATCCAGGGAAAAAGCCTATGCAGTGAGTTTGAATTCGTCTGCGAACGCGATTGTCTTCGATCTGCTGAGCTTTGAGGTCCGGTCTTAACCACCGTTTAGCACATGGCGACGGGCGCGAGTCTGGTGTGAACTGGCCAACGGCCTGCAATCTTACTATCGTGAGCTTTTCCCCCGTCGCATCAAGTGCTGGTCGAGTTCTAATCCGTCCGCCCTCACTTCTTCGTCCACTTTTCCGACTTCGGCCCCTGCCTCGTTTCGCTGCCTTATGTGGCAATGAGCGAAATTCGCCAGACTCATGATAGTAGGGTCGCTCAGTGATCATTCCAAAACAACACAACAGACATTTGAAATCAGTCAGGGGCCAATATGCATCTGCCCAAATGCTTGCTCTAAGTCGCGAGCTGGGGTCACTCCGCCGGCAGTTCGATGATTTCGACCGCCTACGGCTGATCCACAATCGGGGCATCTCGATAACTCCATAGCTCCCCCGCACTCGCCGATTGTAAACGGATGCCCATTCTCGCAATAGTACCAATGCCCCGTTCCCCGAAACTCACTTGCCATGGCATTCAAGACTGCCATGCGTTCTTCGTTGGTCACTGGCGCGTAATGTGTTGCACCGTTGAGCATAGACCTGGTACCTTCAATTTCCTGGCTTAGACCACGTGTCTGGCTAGGATGCATGTTGCAAAACCTTTCCGACTCTTCGAGAGCGTTTCTAGCTTTTTCGCGTAAGTCTTCAGCGTGCGATGACTGTTTCGAGGTTTGTAGCTCCAAGGCGTAAAGCTGTGCAAGGAAAATATGTCCTTCGGCCTGTTGCATGATGCGATGCGAAGCTATTGAGTCGCTTATCAGGAGCCGACTTTCCTTTTTGTTCTCTTTCAGGTTGACAAACAAGTCACTCTGATCCTGAACAGAGTGTACACGACTTTTCATGGAGATGAAATCCCCCAGAAGAGCCAAGTCTAGGCGGAGCAGCAGCGCAGCGGCTTGAAGTTGTCCTTTAGTCTGGAGTACGCTTTCATGAAAGCCGAACTGGCTAGAAGTCGTTTTACGTCGACGTGCATTTTCGACCATATTGCGGACCTGGATGAATGGCTGCTCTTCCAGCTTCACCCTCTCTTGATACTCTTTTAACCTGCAGCGAAGAGCCAGAATGCCGCTCCAATGGACTTTGGATGTTTTCTTGATCCGATAGCTCATCAGTTCGACTGGATGCGCAGGGGGTCCTTCAAGCCTGACTTGTATATTACCCCGGAACACCGCCGCAGCTAGTGCCTCGAATCCATTGCGGTTCTGTAGCTCATAGAGTACACGGGGTAGCTCCTGGGCAAGTGGTATGTACCGTTGGTTCACATACAAAATCAGCTTCTTTGTTGCTTCATCGAGCAATGCACGTCTCACGAGTCTTCCATAGCGAGAAAGTCCTCTCAATGACCCGCGACATGTGGCACATGTCCGGATGTCCTCAATCGAAAATGGTGTTGAGGATGCAGATATCGCGGTAGGCCTTTCCAGATCGTCCAGACAATAATGCTTTCGGAGATCCATTTGACCGTCCATGCTCTCGATGGTCAAAAGTGCCCACACTTCAGAAAGATGCAGGGGTTCTCTGCGAGATTGATCTCCTGGGATGATTCGCCTAAGATGAAGTCCACGGGGGGTCTCCTTGATCTCGGCGGATGCGCATATCTGACAGTACTTCTCCGAGGGGTAAATTTCGCGGCACACGGACGGGCATTGGTGACCGCATGTCAAAACATTTTTTGCAGCGTAAAGAGCATGGGATGTGATCGCAGGGCGGCTCACAAGGCATCGAGCAAGTACTGTGAGGACATGATGATAGACATTGTGAGACAGCGCAAGGTGCACATGGCTCAGAGCATTGCTGTGGGCATTTAGAGTGGCCACACTCTACACCACAAGGTGATGTACATGCAGGGCATGCGTCTTGTCCATGGCATTCGAAGCTACAGGCATGAGAACAGGTGGAGGATGGTCTTCCGCACTTTTGTGTACAGGCTCCATGTTCAATTTCCTGACCTTAGGGTACCCTCATGGCACAGCAGGAGCGCCTGCAGTTATGTCCACATGCCAACACGACCTCACAAGTTTCTTCGCATATATACGCGTCACTATCAACATCTGTATGGCAGGCGACAATAACAGTATGGTTACAGCGCGGAACCTGCTTTTTTACAAGTATGGGGCACTGGACGAGAACGGGATTTTGAGCTTGCCAACATGGAAGAGTGGCCATCGAGTGTCCGCATGGAAGAATTCGTTTTGTATCATGAACGGAGATATTACACCTTTTTGGGCAAGGGTCACCACAGTGTTTTGGGCAATAATGTGTGCAGCCATTTAGTGGTCGAGGACAGGTTTCCGAGCAATAGAAAACCTTGTGAAGTACCTCTGAATGTCATTTTTGCTTGCAGGGATGACCGCATTGAAGGCGCCTGTCGCATTGGAGACTGCATCCCCCTTCAGGTGAGAGTTGCAGGAGGAAGTGCTCTAGCTCTATGATGGAATTGAAGTCTCGGGATGGCGCGGACAATTCAGTTCCAATTGGAAACCCAAAAGCCCATCTTGTTCCAAGATACCGTGGACCTTCCCCCACATGTCAACGAATGTGGGAGAGCCACCTTCGATCGGGAAACGCCGAAACGCCTTGACGAAGATGACTGACCTACTCTGATATTGCCCGGTCGCTGTTCATGGTGCTACTCATTGAAAAATATATTGAAGCTCCATTTACTTATATGGGCTTGTGCAGGCGGCTTAATATCGCTGGAGCTGCTCTCGAAGCTGACTGGCCTTGTTAAATTGTCTAGAAAGATTTGCTCAACAGACTTGGCTTCAGTCTCTGGCACTTCGGATTTGTGCTTTGGCGCAATAATTTCCGTAAAGTCATTGCCAACACAGTCGCATTCCAAATTTTGAAATGGCATTGCTTTTGTATCGGGTTCAACTGCATATGGCGGAACGTAGATGTTGGACGGAGTCGCCTTGCAGGATAGAACAGTGATGGGTGTTTCGATAATTAGGAGCTGGAAAGCGTTCTGCTTTTTTGCTGCTGTCCCATCCCTATCTTCCTTGGAAAGACAGAAGACGATCTGTACGAGAGTTAGCCATATTGTATAGATTGCTCAGTCTCCAAGGCAGAGGGTAGCTGAGCAGGTTTCGGGGATCCTTACCTGGATCCAGTGGTTCACATCAGGTTTACCTGCTTTGGTGCTTGTATGAAGTCGTTGCCACTGCGGTATTTCTTTCAATTCAGGGCATCTGGGCAATTGCACCTGTAATTCAATTTCACGTGTTTCCAGTACTTCCCCGAGCAGATTCCAAGTTTGCGTATCTGTCGGTCGTATTTTGTCCCGGTCTGAAGTGATCCGGATTTTGCTGCCAGGATAGGTGCTTCTATATTCATTCCCTGCCTGCTTTTCAAACAGAAGCACTTTTCTTTTACCCAGCTGTAATACGCGAGTTTCCCGTCCCGTTTTCGAGTACTGCATGTGCTGAGACACATATACTTTCAGCCAGCAACATTTTAGGTCGATAAAAGGAGTCAGTTTCAACCTTATTGGTATCCGGGAGCCTAAAGGGAAGCTTCTGCCGAGGAAACAAATATCATAGTGAAGCTGCTCACGGAAGTCCTTAGAGATAATAATTGACTCAGTTAGTTCCAGTGAGTTTTCTGAAGGCAATCGAAGGAGCGGGATATCCAGTTGTGAACGCATTTGTGAACGGAATATTCCAGGGAATTCGATTTTGGCTTCGAGGTAGTAATGAACAGATACAAGCTCAGTGCTGATAGTTTCAGGAAGTAGGTCGTGCACGAGAAACTCGAAAGGGTAGATATAACCGCCAGCAGGAAACATCGTATAATGGCCTTTCGGGCGACTGTTGTTGGTATGTTGGGGGCTTTCGCTACAAGGGCGCGGAAGCCCAGACCAATCTAAGCTGCCTGAATAATACTCGGGCGGTAAAAGTTGCTCAACCTGCAACGCTAGAGCTTTGCTTTTGACAATCTGACCAATCTCTTGAGCCGATATAGACTTCTCCCACAAGTTGTGATAGCCGCTGTCTTGTAATGTCGCATGCCCGTTCTCAAAGTAGGTAATACCAGATGTGATCAGATCCTGTCTTCTAGTACTTCCTAGTGAATGCATAGAATGATGAGTTAGCCGCATAAAAAAACATTGGTGGTGCCACAATAGCGCTCAAGACAGGTAAAAGACGTACCCCCCAACGGCTGGAACCTAGCAAGACCATGGAAGGAGACGCATATGCCCTTGATTTTGGTCGGTTTGGTGACCTCAAGATGGAGATAACCCCGAGAGACTGCCGGCTGATTCTTGGAATGGCGATCGGGCTTGCCGTCTCCTTGCAAGTATATGACAGGCTCGAGCAGTATGAAGCTCAGTTTCAGGCCCCCTCGAATACCCACAACATGGCTCGAGGAATGGCAGCGACCGATTGGAGCTTCCAATGACTGCATCATGCACTTCTCTCGAGTAGCAAATCCTGCGACCGAATCAGACCCATTTCTACAATATCAGATATAGGCACGTTACTTCGGTTCGATGTACAGCCACCGCTGAAGTTGGTTCTAGCAGAACAGGCGACTGATAGTTCTGGACCGATCGCAGTTGGCGATGAATTAAGAGCAAATGGTGCTGTGAGTAAGTTAACTATCACAGTGGCTAATGATCCCGCTATTTATGATGTTACAAGACTTGATAGTAGGTGCGCTTGACAGTTGATGATAAGTACTAAACGGCTCTAAATCACTTCGGCGTCGGCGCGGGATAGAAGAATGCTCATTCTAATTCACGGATCGATGACCCTCATTGGAATTGGACTATCTCTCGGTGGCAATATGTTCGAGCTCCGAGCAATGTGTTTCCCGTCCTATCTACCGGGGTTTCGAAAGGCCTGGGCCAGAATTACCCTATGGCGCAGCATGATGTGACCGGGGGCGGATCGCGCCAAGTTTAGGTACTGTGTGGTTCGTACCACTAGCTCATGATAATCTCCAAGTGTATTTATTTCAACGTAAGGGTAGATGGAGAAGTTCCCATAGCTAGCGTCATGGTAAGATAGAACCATGGGTAGAGAGCTGTCCCGTACCAGATATTCCCCACCGGCCGGGCAATAGTATCTAGACTATTGGACGGTAAGTCATCAGTCAATCGGGCGAATCTAACTCTCGGATATCCTTCAGATTACGAAAGCCGATTCAAGTACCATACGTGTTCATCCTAATAATTCGTGTTCATCCCAATATTAGAAAACTAGACCATAGATTAGATGATTCGAAGAGAGTAGCCTAGAGCTATCGCACCTAATTTATAGCGTTTAGCATAGGTATGGATATGAGAATGTCACTGTCTGCTCGCTAATCGAAGAGCAGACCGCACACCATAAAACATGAGGAACGGGTGGGTTTCGTATTCGAATGGCCAGGGCGGTAATGGCATGGAGGCGCGGTCTCCCAAGCTATCAAACCACACGCCCTCTGCCCTCTCAATTCGCTCAACTGGCCCTTCAAGCGCCGAATTATTTAGCATCGAGGAGCCCTAAATACCACCAAGATGGATTCATTTACGCAGAGTGCAAACTGCGCGCTATGTCCAATCTGCTGGAGAGAAGAGGGAAAGAAAAGGTATAACAGACAGCAAGATATCACGTACAGCACTGCAGATGTCAAGCTTATGATAACTTGATGGGGTGGAGCACCAGAACATACTTGCAATCTTTCACTCACATCCTGCTGCTCTTCAGGATGTAGTCGATTTTGGGGCAGTCTATACTATGCTCAGTACTCCAATGCCGAAGTCTAAACTCATTACCTGGCGTACAAGGATGCTAAAAGGCGCTGGACGGCACCAATGTATACCTCAACAATGGTCGATCGAGCCGCTCGGGGCCTCTGGACCTCCCAATTTCGATCGTGGGCATAGACAAGGGCTAGGGCTCGTGAATTAGCACCAATACAGACAAATTCGCACGAGATTCCACAAATCCTCCATACCAGTGGGCAGCGCATAGCCGGATCCTCTGTAGGGTCGTCAATGAACAGACTGATGGTGCCATTCTGTACTTATCCATTGTCAGTAGTTCGAGTGGTAGTTGCCCATCCCGGGCCCTGCATTATGGCGTGGCATCATTCACTACTTCTATCTCTATTTCTAATTCCACTACGTTCGTCTGATCTGTGAATCCTACGAATTAACTCAATTATTCTTGCGCTGCTGTACCCACGAGAATCATGACCTTCAAACATCTTCTATTTCGCAGATAGTCGCGAGAAGCTTAGCAGAGAAGGCTTGCGAACCCTATCACAACCTACGTGTGGTGGTCGGTCATGCCAATTTGCTCCATTCACTGATAATCAACTTTCCGAACAGGGCGGAGGAACAATAGTGCTGGTATACTAGGACCTTTATTAGTGTTATCGAAAATTATAGCACGTATCCAAGAAAGAGAGATATTAGCTGAGTGTAACCTGGAGTACCAGCCGAGGAATTCGAGCAAAGAGCAAGAATGCGTCCATCAAA